GCATGCGTCAACGCCACCCAGGACAGCGTTTCGCGGCCCCATAGGGAATTCCATCGAAGGCTCCAGTGGCACAGGCCGCATGCGTCAACGCCACCCAGGACAACGTTTCGGTGCCCCATAGGGAGCTCCACCAGAGGCTCCAGTGGCTCAGACGGCATGCGTCAACCCCGCCCAGTGGCCCTAGATGGATCTCCACCGAAGGTTCCACTGGCACAGGCCGCATGCGTCAGCGCCACCCAGGGCATCGTGTCGCGGCCTCATGGGGAGCTCCACCGAGGGTTCCAGTGGCACAGGACGCATGCGTCAACGGCGCCCAAGACAGCGCTTCGCGGCCCCATGAGGGAATTCAACCGGAGGCTCTAGTGCCACATACGGCCTGCGTCAACGTCACCCAGGACAGCGTTTCGTGACCCCACAGGGAGCTCCACCGGAGGCTCCAGTGGCAGGGTCCGCGTGCGTCAACGCCACCCAGGACAACGCTTCGTGGCCCCATTGGGAGCCCCACCGAAGGCTCCAGTGGCAGGGTCTGCATGCTTCACCGCCACCCATTTAGGCACTCGTCTCACGCGGTTCGTGTCACCACAAGGAGTTCCACCGAAGGTTCCAGTGGCACAGGCCGCACGCGCCAACGCCATCCAGTACAGCGTCTCGCTGCCTTCTAGGGTGCTCCACCGAAGTGGCGCCGTTCGCTTGCGTTCCCTCCACCCAGGACAGCGTTCCGTGTCCCCATCGGGAACTCTACCGAAAGCCCCAGTGGCACCGTTCGTTCGCATGCGTTTCACTCACCCAGGACAGCGCTTCGCGGCCCCAGAGGGGGCTCCACCGATAGAGGGCTCCACCGAAGGTCCCAGTGGCGCAGTTCGCATGCGCGTCGCACGCCCAGTACAGCGCTTCGTAGCTCCATGGGGAGCTCCACCGAAGATCCGAATGGCGCCGTTCGCATGCGTCCCCCCCACCCAGAACAGGGTTACGTGGCCCCGTAGGGAGCTCCACCGAAGGTCTCAGTGACGCAGTTCGCATGCGTCTCCCCTTCCCCCTCCCCCCACACTGTTCGTGGCCCTGCAGGGAGCTCCACCGAAGGCCCCAGTGGAACAGTTCGCTTGCGTCTCCCCTACCCAGGACAACGTTTCGTGGCCGCATAGGGAGCTTCACCGACGGCCCCAGCGGCGGTGTCCACATGCGTCCGCTTCACCATTTCGGCGCACCCCTCACACGGTTCATGGCTCCATAGGGAGCTTCACCGGAACCAGTGCCCACAATGCGTCGTTCGCAACTGCACATGGTTGGGTTTTTGGTCAAACGATTTTTCTGGTGTTCGCTCCTTTCGTTCCTGCGGCGCCCGCCCCTCCATGCTACGATTGTTTTTCCCAGCCATCCTGTAGTACTGGGTTTCCGTTTTGAAGAGACAGCGCCCCGCGTCTCCTCCTTTTTCCCCCCTCCTCTTCCTTCCCCCATACTCCCATCCCTTGTCTCTGCGCTCCGTATGTCCTCATGATCGTCATCACCATCATCGTCGCCATCGTAATCGTCGTCGCCGTCATCATCACCATCATCGTCACGCCCGGCACAGTGCTTCGTGGCCCCATAAGGAGCTCCACCGAATGCCCCAGTGGCGCAGTTCGAGGCGTCTCCCCTACTCAGTATAGTGTTTCGGGGCCCCATAAGGAGCTCCACCGAAGGCCCCAGTGGCGCAGTTCGCCTGCGTCTCCCCCACCCAGCACAGCGCTTCGTGGCCCCATAAGGAGCTCCACCGAAGGTCTCAGTGGCGCAGTTCGCATGCGTCTCCCCCGCCCAGCACAGCGCTTCGTGGCCCCATGGGGAGCTCCAGCGATAGGGGGCTCCACCGAAGGTCCCAGTGGCGCAGTTCGCATGCGTCCCCCCCGCCCAGTATAGCGTTCCGTGGCTCCATAGGGAGCCCCGCCGAAGGTCCCAGCGGCGCAGTTCGCATGCGTGTCCTCCGCCCAGTATAGCGGCCCGTAGCCCCATAGGGAGCTCCACCGAAGGTTTCAGTAGCGCAGTTCGCATGCATCTCTTCCATTCAGTACATCGCTTCGTCGCCTCATAGGGAGCTCCACCGATGGTCCTTGTGGCGCAGTTCGCATGCGCCTCCCCCATTCAGTATTGCGTTGCGTGGCTCCATAGGGAGCTCCACCGAAGGCCCCAGCTTCGCATGCGTCTCCTCTACCCAGTGTAGCCTTTTTTCGTGGCGTCGTGGGGAGCTCCACGGGTGGTCCCAGTGGCGCAGCCCGCGTGCGTCTCTCACACCCACCACAGCGCTTCGTGGCTCCATGGGGAGCTTCGCCGAAGGTCCCAGTGGCGCAGCCCGCGCGCGTCTCCCACGCCCAGCACAGCGTTTCGTGGCCCCAATCGAGAGCTTCGTCGAAGGTCCCAGGGCCGTCACACCTATTTCGGCACTCCCTGACACGTTGCGTGGTCTCCACCGAAAGCCAAAGTGGGGGCGGTCCGAAGGTGGGCCTAGTTCTAAGCGTTCGTTTTTAAAGGCTGCGACGTGTAGCCCAGCACCTGCGCCATGCAGCTGCAACTGCAACCCATGCGCGCCATGCAGCTGAAAATCCATGCACGCCATGCATCAGTGAGCCACGTGGAACGCCACGCAGCTGAAACCCGATGATCGTCGGCTCCGGGAGGAGAGAGGTTCCAGAACGGCCACATGATCGGTTCCTACTGGGACATCGCGGCGCGGTGGATGAACATGCGCGCCCATTGGGACGCGGACGTCCTGGGAAGAAAAGCCGCTCTTCCTCGCGCGGGCAGCCGACGGGTCTGCTCCGACGGTGAATGTCAAGGACGCCGCCAAGATGATGAATCGTGCCAACCCGAAGAACACTGGTGGCATGCACGCACTCCTCCCGGCGCACATGGGCAGGCGGATCTGGTTCCTGGAGGCGCTCGACCTGAAGGGCGGCCTCATCATTCATGCCGAGGGGCAGATCGCGCACATCGTCGTGGACCCTCGGGATCGGGGCGACGTTGAGAGCGCCGAGAGAGACGGGGGGAGCAGGATCTATCTGAAGCGTTTGCCGCTGGGGTTCTGGGCGCGCATGCAGAAGTACGCGGGCGCGCCCTTCGCGGGCGACCTGAAGCGCCACGACGACAGCCTCACGGGGGACCTCGCGTGCCTGCTGGTGTTCATAGAGCCCCCCGAGTCGGGGCCGTTCACCCTCCGCAGCTCCAAGGATCACCCGGACGGGCCCCCCGTTCTCGCTCGGCAGGGCCATCGCCGCGGCGGCGTGCCGGGGGCGCGCCATGCGAGGAGGCGACGGGGCGAGGGAACGGCGCCTTTGGGCAGTCTACAGCCAAAACCTACTGGGCCCGAGCGGTCCGCAGCCAGACCATGTCTCGGTCCTGCGGGCTCGCCCTGGGCCGGCGGTTGTCCGGCGCGCTGCCCCCGCGGCCGACGTCGCCCAGGCGCGATCTTGGATTGCGGCCACCACGAGGTCGGGGACGGCAAGAAGGAGGACGATGACTGGCGGCTGGAGTTCCATGCGCTGCTCACGCGCGCCGCGCACCACGAGGACCTCCTGTCCACGCGGGCGCCGCGCGTCGATTCCTTCCTGGCAGGGCCGCCGGGGGGCTTGCGGGCTCAGCCGGAGCAGTTTGCGGCGCGCGCGAAGCGGCGCAGGAGGGGGGCGACGGCTTGCCAGGGAGCTCGGCTTCACCGAGTTTCCGCGAGGCCTGACCTGAGGAGCGCCCCGCCCGAGCCGCGCCATCTCTCGATTGTCCAACTAACGGTTTGGCTTCGCACCGCAGACGACCCGCGCGCGTCGCTGAGGCCCTTTCGGGGCGGCCGGCGCGCCTCGCGGGACCTCCGCGCAGCGTTCTGCCCGGCGCCCCGCTCGCCCGTCGTCGCTCTGCCCGGCGGTCGCAGCCGCGCCCGCTACCAACCAGCCAGCTAGCGCCCATTGCTCCGCGCAGCGGACGACCCGCGCGCGTCGCTGGGGCCCCGTCCATGACGACCTGCGCGCGTCGCTGGGACTTCTCGTCCCGCTGCGCCCGCAGCCTTGGACTTTGGAGTGCGCGGGCAAAGGAGGGGAAGAGAAGGGAGCGGGAGCGACCCTCGTGAGTGGCTCGCCGACATGGGCGTCGCGGCGTGCGGGCGCTGCCGTCGGGGTAACCTCTTGGCGGCGGCCGCACTCAGTGTCACGAGTGCTCCGACTCAGGCGTGCCCGAACCGTGCGCATAGCCGTATCCATGATCGCATTCGCGCACGTATACCCATTCGCACGCATACTCATTCACACTATGCCTCTCTCGCGCTCAAATCACCCGCGCTCAGTCTCTGGTAGTTCGACTTCTCGTCTTCGTTCGGGATGCGTTCCCCGCCACGAAACTCGTGGCCCCATAGGGAGCGCTTCCGAAGAAAATCTGTACACTTGTGGTGTTCACAAGTGCGTATGTATGGGTCTCTCGCCCTCGCCAGGATAATGTCTCCCCCTCCTCCGCGGATGCACGTGGGCATTCGTTGCGTGTGTCTTTTTCCCCCGCTGTCATATATACGTTCACATAGCATAAACGTACATACATGCATACATAAACATGGTTTTATACACATGTGTATTCATATACACAGTTTTACAGTTGTTGCTAGCATGTGCTAAAGGTGAAAACATATGTTTTACATGGTTCAGGCTTTCATTGTTCTTCGCGCCGTTCGTTTCTGCGGCGCCCGCCCTTCCGCGCTACAGCGGGATTCCTTTTTTCGACGAGTATGACCATCGGATTCCTTCCGCGGGTTCCAGCGGTCGTGTTCCTTTTGTGGAGGGTTTAGGGCGCGGCCGCTTACGAACTTTGGGGCGACGTTGCAACTCCCGAGCACTATTTGCAAACGCAAAGGAAAAAGGGCTCATCTATTCCCCCTTTCTCGGGGAGGGTGGGGTGGGTGGGAAATGGGACTGGGGATAGCGAGGGGACGGGATGGACTGGGGAAGGCCTGGTGAGGGGAGATGTGAGCAGGTCAGAGGAGGCGGGGTGTCGGTGAGGTTCCAAAGCCCAACGTTGAGCTGCCGATCGCGTTCAAGCAGAATGTCGCCGCGGGTGAGAACGAGAGGTTGGAACCTTTGAGTTGTCCAGCAAGTTCGCAGAGGAGCGCAGACAGATACACACTTCCCGTTCCTGCCCCTTCCCCTCCGGTGGCCCCTTGCCGCCCCCTGGCCCCGCTCAAACTCCAAATGCCGCTCAAGATCCCGAGCCCGTCCCTGTTTTTGTTGCTGCTGTTCTTTCTCTCGCTGGTGGTGTTGCTGTGGTTTGTCCGTCGCGTTCCCTTTAAATGACCCCACATTTCAGTCGCGCCACCAGACGCGTACGTGGGCCAGGCTCTGCGTTTCGCTCGGGGTCCCCGTTGCGAATAATCATCCACGAGCAAAATCGTTGTCGGCACCTACGTGAGTGGAGAGCTGGTTGTTTTCAGAATGCGTCTTCAGCGTCAGCGCCGCGCGCATTTGTTACAACAGGTTTCACCAGGGCGCTGGCTTCCAAGATGCGGATATCGCCTAAGCACCGCACGCATTCGTTTTAAACGCAGCCGTCAGGTACAACACATAGGAGGCCCGTTCGTTTCCAAAATGCGTTTCTCGCTTGAGGCCCAGAGTTCAAAGCGTTCAACAATTGCACAGATGGAGGATGGCTCATTTTCAACATGGGGCCCTCGTTGGAGTTGCATGCAACCTCATGGCGGCCAGAATATTGACAGCGTGTAGCTCTTACCTGGATGGCGGGCAGACTTTTTCAACACGCGGCTATCATTGGACCCTTCTCAACTAGAACTTCGCTCCTGGAACCAGGAGCACGGAGTTTCGATCCTGTACAAGACGGGGTCTCGCCTAAGTGGCAGGCCCATTTGGCGCTCATCATCCACGGAGGGCGAGAGACTTATGCGGATTGTCTTTGGGGCGGGCGGGTGGATTGCAGCATCGTTGACGCATCTTGGGCTTACTCTAGTCATCCTTCTTCTCTTTCCTCTCCTTCCCCTCATACTCCTCCACCTCTCCCCCTCCCCTTCTCTTCCCCCCTCCCCCTTTTCCACTGGACCCCGAATGACCCCTCCCCCTCCCCCGTCTCGCCCTCTCCTGCCCTTCTGAGGGGGGGAGAGGGGGGTCGCCTTGTAGTGACGCTTGGCACCAAGGATTCCTTGCTCCAAAAAGTCGTCTTGGAGTATCGGCGTCTCACATATTCGGTGCCTCAGCTAGACGCTATGGGCTGTCCACACATGTGGCAGGAGGGTTGATGACCCAGGAAGTGTTGTTTCAGTATAGGAAGGTCGCTGACCTCTCTGCCATGTTTGTTTTGGAACTCGAGGTTACAGGCATCACCGAGTCTTCTGCTGCGATGGCCAGGCCGTGTTTCGGAGAGGTTCTCGATTCTCCGTCTATGCGGTCCCACTGCTTGCTCGCTGCCTTGAGGCCTCTTTTGTTTAGTACACTCCTAGGTTGCGCGGTGTCTGGGCTTGGCGTCGAGTGATGTTCCTCGGCGCAGCTTGATCAGCGGGAATGTGTGTTCGGATAGCCTGGCCTTGCACCCCATAGTGCCTCTGTTCACCCGCGCTGCGTGGACGTTTGTGATTGTCGAGGCCGGACAGCCTCTTGCCACTGCGTGTGGGCCTCTGAAGCATGGGTGTTGTTCGATCTATGGCGCCTGAACTGGTGCTATGTGCATGATATGTGGGCACCCGGGCTCAGACCCTGTTGTGTGTGACTGACTGTGAGGCGTTACTGAAAGTCTGGTCCCAGCTGCCTGAGGCTGAAGTTTCTTGGCTGCAGTACGCTGTTTTTTGATGGGGAAATGGTTTTCGCCGACGGGATCTGGGGGCCGAGCACTATTCTTCCGTGAAGGTCCCAGCTCACAAGAGCTTGCCTGCTGCTATGAACTGTTGGATCTCAGTTTGGGCCTGGACAGGAATCGGGTTGCGAACAAGACGGCCAACAATGCTGCCAACGGATCTCCGCATTTTGAGGCAGCGCAATATCCAGAGGGTTGGCAGAATTTCAGCTGCTGTGCTTGAGCGTGTCTGTAGTGCTCTCCGCGATGTGGCCAAGCCGTCCCAGGTCTCGTGGCCACATCTTAGTTCACGAGTCTAACGGGCACGTGATTGTGCGGCATGGCAGGGGCTGTATTGGAGATGTTCGCACCCGGGTAGGACGTGCCCTAGCGTGGCATTCTCCAGGTGCACTGGATGGCCCAGGATCGCGAGGCATGCCAGGCTCTGGGGAGGAGATGGGAGCTGCGTTGCCGATCGTCTGGTGCTCGAGCTGCGGGGCCTTCGCGATGCATCGCATGCACTTGTTAACACAGAGGTGCCCTATCCGCCCTTGGAATGATGATGCTGGGAAGTTGCTGTCTGTCTTGAAGGCCGTGGTCCGAGTCCAGGTTCACTGTGTTCGGGCCGCTTCGCGGAAGGTTGGGATTGGTGTGAGGCATTGTCCCGCTTTCCGTTTCCGAGGTCTGGTTTTTTTTCCTCTTCGCATTGTTCTGCGATGTATGGTGGATTGTGTCGCATATTTGGAGAAGCGCGGAGAAGAGCGGTGCGCCCAGGCTGCGGCACGCGTCACGCGCCCGCCACCGTGGCGCAGTTGGCTCCCGAGCTCCCGCACCATCCCTCCGAGGCCACGATCGAAACATAGCCACCGCCTGGAGGATAGATTTTCAGGGACTTCGGAAGGCGGCCGATATGGATACATTCGGGACCCCTGGGTCCAACATGTATCCATATTCACCCCCCGTGGGTGTCCCAGGACGTCTTCTCCACAGGCGGTGGATGAGGATGATCCCCGCCTCGCAATCCTACGCCTGCGAGGTATGATGGGCTCCAGGAGCCAGCAACCACAATGACGAGCCTGGAACAGTCTCCCTGTCCCTGTGATTGGCATGGCGTGATCTCGATGCCGGCCTGAAGGGTTCTTTCGGGTTTTGTGCGCGCATCCCAGGCTGGTCATCGCATGTGGGCTTGTCGATCTCCAAGGTAGGGATACGATCGGGCCTGGTTCCAGAGGAGCCCTCTCTCCTCTGTTATCGGTGGAGGTTCCTGCTGCCTCCTCCACCCCCCTAGGCTCTCAGCCTGCCAGACCTTCCTCGACGCATCAGCGTGGTGCAGACGTCCCTCTGGAGGTGCTACCCGCCCAAGAGCTCATAGCTCTCCAAAGGCGCGCAGGAGCGGGGCCCCGAGGCGCCCCAGTTTTTGGGCGCTGCTCTTGGCTGGCCCCCTTTCGCGGGGGGCCTGCCCTGATCTTGGGGTGGGGCCGCCCCTCCGAGACCACTCGGGCGCCTGCTTGTTCAGATGGGGTGCCGGGAGATCGAGCCTCGGCGCTGCCCGAGGGTTCTTGTTATTCTGGTTATCCTGGTCTCTGTTCCCTCCCACCGCCGTTATCACTTCTCCTCCCTCCTATCCATCCTCCTCTTTCCTTCGCGCCCTTTTTCCTCCCATCCTCCTTCCCTCCCCCACATCCTCGTTCTCCCTCCTCCCTCATCATCCCCCCCTCCCCGTCTCTCCCTTTCTCTTTCGCTTTCTCTCTCTCGCTCTTTCCCTCTCTTCTCTCTCCCTCTCTCTGTCTCTCTCCGTCTCTCTCTTTCCCTCTCTTGTTCTCTCTCTCTCTCTTTCTCTCTTTCTCTCTACTCAATTCCCTCCTTTCTCTCGTACTGTTCGTCCCTCCTTTCTCTTCCCGTCCTCTCTCCTCCCCGCTCCTCCGTTTCCGCTCAAGCCGCTTTCCTGTCCTGTGCCTCCGGTAATGATGTATACGTTTTCCTGGCTGCATGTTGCGCTGCCTTGCCATGCATGTTCTTGCCGCCCTGGGTGCACAGGAAAAAGCCAGAAGACGATAGGAAACCTCCTAGCCGCAGCCCTAGGAGAGCAGCCTGGCTCATCTCTGTCTGTCTGTCTGTCTATCTGTCTGTCTGTCTATCTGTCTGTCTGTCTGCCTGTTTCTCTCTCTCTCTCTCTCAGTCTTTTTGTTTGTCTTCCTCCTTCCTCCTCCTCTGGCCTTCTCGCTCTTTCACGTTGTGTGTCTCTCTATTATTTGACTTGCTGCCTCTGTGCCGACGTATGTATAAGTGTATGTGTTTATCTGCGTCTGTGTTTCTTATATGCCTGTGTCCGTTTCTGGCTCCGTCTCTCTCTCTCTCTCCCTCTCTGCTCTCTCTTATTCTCGCTCGCACAAACACAGTCACTCAGTTAGGTGCTTGCTCATTATTCCTTCTCGCTGTCTGCTCATGTTCCTGATTCCTGGTGGTGGCGAAGCGGCAGGCACAGTCAGCCGAATCTGACTGCGGAGACGAGGCTGGCTGGTCCCCCCCATTCCCTTCAACTCCTGGCTCCTAATCGCAGTCCCCACACTTCCTGGTGGTGGCGACCGCGTCGAACCTGCAGCAGCACGAGGCTAATGAGGAGGGTGAGGAGAGGAATAAGACGGGATGAGTCGATGGAGGAACATGCGCTTCCACGGCCCCCATTGAGGCTTCTCGGGGCCCGCTGGGGCCTCTCAGGGTCTGCTCGCCCCCCCTCTCCTTCCCTCATTTCCTCACGCATGTCCTCCTCCTCGACCTCTTTCCCCGCCATCCCTTCTCCCCTCTCCTCTCCCTCCCTCCCTCTCCCTTCCCCCTCAATCCTGCTCCTTCCTCCTCGTGCCCTCCCCGTCCCGTGCCTGGGGGCTCTCGCCGGGCCCGGGCGCCACCGAGGCGCTGGCATCCTGAACCTGCCCGGCGCGGGCCGCAAGTCGGTTCGGACCTCGACACAGGCGTTGCCCCCGGGGAGACGGAGAGGGGGTGGGTTGAATTCGGCAGCAAATCATGGGAGCCCAAGTCTGTCTTTAGAGTGCACTGTAGTCGACTGGCTTGTGGTACTCGATGACCTAGTGTCCAGTAGCGCCGACTTAGCGTCGGTGAGCGTCGAGTAGCGTTGATGCGCCAGAGTTCGCACGACGGTACAGGAGGCTCCTATGAGTTGCCACCGAATGTGGCAGACCGAATGGGAGGGGACAAGCTCAGGACCGAGACAAGTCGGAGCAACTTCTTCGGAGAGAGTTCCCCAGAATAATCGAGCGTCGTTCTGTGGAGCGCTGCGCGCGCATTCGCAGAAGCAGTCGAGAGGGAAGTCGCAGGCGTGAGGAATTTAAATAACGCGCGTTGCCGCTCAATGCGATTGTCGAGGGCGGTTGGGAACACGGGATTCGAGTGTACATTGTGGGTTGGGGCGCGATCTCCGCAAGGGGCGCCATGGGTACGCGTTTCGGGCGTGTTCGCGTCGAGGGTGGGCGGCAAAGACATCATGGTCGGGACCATCGCGGCCCATGATGTCCTTGCCCACCAGCCTCGACGCGCGACGACGTGCCGGACGCCGCCGCAGGTCGATCTCACATAATCTCGGAAACAGACATCGGGGCGCGCCATATTCTGCAGGAAGCGCGGGCCAGTGGGAGAGGAGGAAGAGGAGGAGGAGGAAGAGGAGGAGGAGAAGGAGAAGAGCCGTTCTCGGCTCTCTTGACGAGGCGCACTTCGGAGCGGCGCGCCCGTGCGTGCCAATCAGGCAGCGATCACAGCAATCCTTCCGCATGCATTTGAGCTACCGCGATGGCTCCTCTGCGCGGGTTCGCGCCGCCAGTGCATGGCGCCCAGCGCCGCCCTTGGGGCCGCAATGGCGGCGGAGGAGGTGGCCGCAGCGGCGCAGACCCCACGCGATCGCCCTGGTGGCGCGAGCCGTCCTTGGGGGGTCCCTCGGTCCTCCCAAGGCCGCGAAAACCCACCTGGGGATGTGCATGCGGCGACGACGGGAACTGGGCCTGCAGGCTGGCCTGGCGTGGGTGCGGGCGCTTCGCGCCCACGTTGGTGCGCCAGTGGGCGCTGGAGCAGGCAGCGGGACGAGCCTGCTGGTCGAGGGCAGCAGTCGCCAGCTTCGGTGGGCAAGATCAAGTCTGGGCTTGCTGGAGGCGGAGGCAAAGCCAGTGCGGAAACAGCAGGCGCCGAGCTTGCGGCTGGGCAAGGAGGGTCCACAGTGGCCGAGCTGCTCGCCTTGCTGGACCCCAAGGGTGTGGCCTCCCGTGGGCGAAGCTGGAGACCCCCCCTGCCCCCGCGAAGGAGGCCAAGCCCAAAAATTACTCGCAGGCTGTATAGAGCTGAGCATGGAAAGTCGTGCGTTCCAGCAATCAGCTGGCAGGCCGCCAGGCCGCGCAGGCCGATGCGGAGAGGCAGTTCGCGGAGGCGCAGCAGGCGGTGGCGCAGGGCAAGGAAGAGTTCGAAGCCGCGCGCAAGCGCCATGAGGCGGCAAAGGGGGCGCTGTCTCAGGCGAAGCAGGTGCCAGCGGCAAGGTCGGCTCTTGGTGCCAACTCCGCGCTCAGGAAGGCCAGTGTCGGGAAAAAGTTCTTCTCCGGGAAAAGAGTAACTTATCCGGAAAGAGGGTGACTTCTCTGGGGGAAATGAGGCAAATGCCCGGTCGGTTACTTCTTTGGGTGAGACCCTCACAGGTTTTCCTGCCTTCCCCAAACACCACCAACCAACAACCAAACATCAACCCCCAAACACCAAACACCACCCCCCAGACACCAAACACCAAACACCAAACACCACACACCAACCCCCAACCACCAAACACCAACCCCCAAACCCAAACACCAAACACCAAACACCACACACCAACACAACACACCAGACACCAGTCACCAAACACGAAACACCAAACACCGCACACCAGACACGAGACACCAGACACCACACACCAGACACCAGACACCATACTAGTAGTAGTAGTAGTAGTAGTAGTAGTAGTAGTAGTAGTAGTAGTACTATTACTACTACTACTACTACTACTGCTGCTGCTACTACTACTACTGCTACTACTACGACCTTACTACGACTACTACTACTACTACTACTACTACCACTACTACCACTACTACCACTACGACCACTACTACTACTACTACTACTACTACTACTACTACTACTACTACTACTACTACAACAGCGGTTGCTACGTGTACGGCTGCTACTACGACTACCACTACCACGACCACTACCACCACCCTTACTACTACTACTACTACGACTACTACTACTACTACTACTACTACTACTACTACTACTACTACTACCTCTTACTACTACTACTACTACTACTACTACTACTCGTGCTATTGCTACTACCGCTGGTTTTGCTGCTACTACTACTGTTACTACTACTACTACTACTGCTGCTGCTATTACTACTACTGCTGCTACTACTACTACCCCTGGAGCTACTACACCTACAGGATCAATGACAGTACCGCCAACAACTGCTAGTATTACTACGCCGTCTACGACGGCTATTACTATTATTACTACTACGACAACTACTACCACTACTACCACTGCTACTACTACTCCTACCATTACTACTATGAATACCACCGCTACTACTACTACTACTACTACTACTACTACTACTACTACTACTACTACTACGACTACTACTACTATTACTATTACTACTACCATTACTACTACTACTACTACTACCACCACCAGTATTACTTCCACTAGTACTACGACGACTACTACTACTACTACTACTACTATCACTACTACTGCGACCACCGCTGCCTCTCCCACTACCACTACCAGTATTAATATTACTATTCGAACTATTAGAACGACGAGTATTACTACTACTGCTACTACTACTACTACTACTGCTACTCCTACTACTGTTACCTTTACTGCTAGTACCTACCACGAATACTTCTAGCATGGCGATTGTTTCTACTACGACTACTACTACTACTACTACTACTACTACTACTACTAATACTACTATTACTAATACTACTACTACTACTACTACTACTACTACTACTACTACTACTACTACTACTACTACTACTAACAGTCTGATTGCTACTACTAATAGTACTGTTCATAAGACTTATACGCAGACTACCACGGGTACCAGTTCTATTGCAGCTGCTACTTGTACCACCACCTACTGCGTACCAACTACTAGCTAAGATACGCAACGACTAGCAACAAGCAACCAATAATTCGCTACTAGCTACGAGGTGCCAGCTACCAACCACTAGTTTCTAACTGCTTACTACTAGCTGGCCTTACTATGGCTACCACTATGACTACTCCTACTGCTGTTACTTCTACTACTGCTACTACTACAACTACTACCCTCAATGCTGCCACTGCTACGACTACCTCTTCCATTGCTGCGAGTACCACTGCTACTACTTCTACCTCTACTGCTACTACGACTATCCACTTGCTGCTACCACTACCACTACAACGATTTGTACTTCCATGACTGCTACAATTACTGCGAGCAACACTACGACTGCTACAACTACTACTACGGTCACTACTATCACTACTGGTACTGCTACTACCACCACTACTACTATTACTAGTACTACTACGACTACTTCACCCACTACTGTTATTACTACTCCTGCTACTACTACTACCACTACCACTCGCACTACCACAACGACTGCTACTACTACTACTCCTACTACTACTACTGTGACTACTATTATTATACGACGGTTAGGGTTACGACTACAACTACTCTCACTACTTCTACGACCACTACTTTTAATACTACTTCTTCTACCACTACTTCTACGACCACTACTACGACCACTAGTACTACTTATGTTACTTCCACCACTAGTACTACTACTGTTACTATTGCTGCAACTACTAACTGTGAAGTACCAATTACCACGTACTACTACTACTACTGCTAGTTCAACAAGGGCTAGACCAACTATTACTACGACTATTTTTTTCTACGACTACTACTACTATGACTACTAAGTACTGGCTACAAACCACTAGCTAGCACTCACTACCTACACCCTGCGAGCTATTAAGAACACACTACTTGCGACTTACTACATACCACTAGCTACGAACAGCAGTTTCATTATGACAAATTGTTTCGAACCGCTATTCAAACCTAAGTAGCAACTACTACGTGTTATCGACTAACTCCTAACTGCCAGCTGCCAGCTGCCAGCTACGAGCTGCTACCAACATGGTCGCCACATGTAGTTTAGGAGTGTCGCACAGAGAAGTTACCTTTCCGGGCAAAAGAAGCAATATTGATGGGGCATCTCTGTGGCCTCGTAAGGGCAGCTCACTGAGATTTGCTGGATGAGGTCTCACCTGGAGAACTAACCCTTCCCGAAGGATCTTTCGGAATCTACAGTGATTCGGCAGTTCACCCGGAGAAGTAACCCTTTACCCAGAGAAGTAACCCTTGTCCCGGAGAGAACCCTCGCGGCCAGTGTCATTGTCACCGACGGGAGCCAAGACGGCAAACAAAGGGGGTTGCTGCTGCTCTTGCTATTGCGTCTGGCTCAGGCGTCGGAGGCGGCGAGGGCAGTGCCGAGGCAGCGGCGCGCGCGCCCGGCTTCGACAAGCTTGAGAAGCTCGAAAGAGAGCGCCGCCGCGAGTTCGAGGGGGCGCGCGAGGCGGCAGGTCGAACTCCAAGCGGCCAAGCGCGCCCGGGGTGAAAAGGTGATGGCGGAGGCGAAGCAGCGTTTTCATATATTTATGTTTCCTTGGCGCCGCCTGGGGGCTGGGCGCGGCCAATCACCGCGTCCCGCAACAACATGATGCACCGGCTACAGCAGGGCGCCACCTACCACGTGGTCTTCTTCCAGGGTGATGGCGCGGCTCTGGAGCCAAGGAAGAAGGAGACTGAGCAGGCGTGTCGCGCGGAGGGCTGGAAGTTGGCCTTCAACGAGACGTTGCCCGCGGAGAGTGGCGGCCTGTCCTGCGGGGTAGGCATCGGCGTGCTCTGCGCGTCGGCATGGGGGTGGCGCCGCCTGGGTTTACCCTGCCGCGGGGCCGCGTCGTGGCCCGATGGGTCAATGGCGGTGTCCTTGGCGCCCTCCTGACCATTTCCCTTTTACCTCGCGGCGGCGAAGACGGGGCTGGACGCGGGCCTCAAGCGGCGGCTGTTGGGCCAGCAAGGCGGGGGTGCAGAGGAGGTGTTTGTCGAGCGCCAGTGCGGCGCGCGCGTGGGCGCGCCCGTCGCCCATCGGTCCGCGGCCCAAGCCGCCCGACTGGCCCCCGTTCGTCGGACTGGCGCGGGGGGTGCCGCGGAGGAGGCAGTGCCCGACGCTGAGCGTTCTGACCGCGATGTTTCAGATGGAGCTGGCAACCCCGACGCCGATCTGGGGGGCGGGGTGGCGCGGGGCGGGGGGCGGGGGCTGAGTGCCCGACGCCGCCAGAGGATTGGGCTGGCGGCGCGCGGCGGGGAGTCAGCGACGCGCGCGCGGAGTTGGCGCGGCCCGTGGAGTCCGACCTCCACGGCAGCAATCGCGTCGGCCCCGAGAAGCAATCGAAGTGCCGCGGGAGGGCGTTCGAGTTCAAATGTTGGGAGCAGGACGTCTTCTCACGCCCGGCAGCAGGCGCCGCGCCGAGGGGTGCCCACCGCCGGCCCGTTGGAGGCGGATCGGCGCGGTCACTTGGGAGGCGTCGGAGGCCGGGCGGCGGCTGCGGGACCCCGGCAGGCAAGCCGAGGCGCCGCGGCGAATTGGCCATCGCCATGCCGCGGCTGGGAGGGCCGCTACAAGAACAAGTGGCCACGGGCCAGCGGGCGGCGACGGGGCGAAGGCGGCCCCGGAGAACGGGCAGCATCACCCACCTGGAGTTGGAGGGCTGCGAGCGCGAGGCGCGCGCGTTCGCGGCCTGGCTGGAGGCCGAGCGCGGCAAGGCCCGCGGTCAGAGCGGGCGCGAGTGGGCGCGGGCGGGGGCGTGCGACGGCGGAGGGGCCGCCCGTCGCTGTTGCGGGGGCCCCACGGGCCAGGCCCCAAACCTCGGGGGGTCGCCGGGGCCCGCCAGCGTCGCAGGCGCGCTGGGCGCGCTGAAGCCGAGGCCAACTCCGCGATCGCGGCGGGCGCGGCGATTGGCGCAGGCGCGGCCGCGTGCCCTGAGAGGGGGCCCGAAGGGGGCGCGCGCGGGGAATCGGCCACAGGGGCAGCCGAGGCCATCCCCTGGAGCCCCCCGCCCAGCCCACCGCTGCGACGGCCCCCGCGGCCCGCCGCCGCGGCGGTGCCCCGCGGCGCGCCCGCGCGCTTGCCCCCGCCCCCCAGGACGACCGCCGCGATTCTTCCCGCGACGGTCCCCGCGCCCCCGCGCTCGCCGACCGCTGCGACTGCTGTGCCCCGAGTGGCTGCGCGCTTTGCGAGGGGGTCCGCGGGGGGCGCGCCTCGGCGGGCCCCGCGACGACTCCTCCTTGTCCTCCATCCGCGCCGCCCTTTTTTCCATGAGGGGAGCCGGTGCGCCCTGCCGCGCGACGCCCCCCCTGCCCCGCGACCCCTCGCCTTGCCCGACGGCCCCCGCGACCCCCGCCGCGACTCGAGAGGCCGCGTGCCCTGAGAAGGGGGCCCGCGGGGGGCGCGCCCCGGGAAGCGCCCGCGGGGGCCGCCGGCAGGCCCAGGGCTGACGCAGACTGCCTTCCTGCGGGCTCCCGAGCGGGCGCATGTCCGGAGAGGGGGCCCGCGGGCGGCTTGCAAGGAGAAGCGGGCGGCTTGCAAGGAGAAGCGCGCTGCGGCCCCAGCGACGCCCCCCCGCGACCACCTTGGCGACGGCCCCCGCGGCGAAACCTGCGACGCCCCGCCTCGTCTACGCGGGCAGCGACCCCCTCGCGGGCTATTGGGCGGGCGGCAGGGCGACCGCGCCGACGACCCCCTGCCCCGCGATCGCGACTGCGAAGACGGCGCTGTCTCGTCAGGCGAGACGAGCCCCGACAAGGCGCCACGACTTCGACGCGTCGCACCCACTCTCTGCCGCCGCGCGACGGAGGCGGCGGCGCACCTACTGGAGATGTCCGTCTCCCCCCCCGCGCCGGCGCCAATTTCGCCGCGCCCCCCCGCGCCCCCCTGCCCTCCCACCCTTCCCGTGGCCCCCGCGAAGGCCGCCGCGATCTCATTGATGTCGCCGACGGTCGCTGCGCCTCTCACCCGACGGCCCCCACGGCGAACGAGGTTCCACTTTTGCCATTCAGTGGCTGGAGGCGTGGGGGCCGTTGGCCACCTTGCCCAATCTTCCCCGCCTTTCGAGCCGCTCACTTGCCCCTTACTGGCCCGCCCGCTCTTCGCCCCGCGAACTTACGCCGCGCGCCTGCTCTCGCGGCGGTGGGGGCGGGAGGGGGCTCTCGCTGACATCCGCCTTGGCAGGGGCCAGAGAGGCCCCTGGCAGGGGCCAGAGAGGCCGAGGCCCGCGAGCTGCGCGCCAGACGGCGTCGCAGGATTGGTGCTAGCCCTGGCCATATGTGATCTGTTTCCCACCATCAGCCAGCGAGTCTTGCACAGGTGCTTCAGGGGTCGCCTGGCCTTCGATGGATCGCGGGGGCAACGGTCGGGGATTTGCTATGCCAGCGGGAACCAGAACAAATCAAAAAGAGGAACAGTACCATCAGGAGCAGGATGAGTAGGACGAGCACGAGGGCCATGGGAAAGCGGAGGAGGGTGCATGAGGAAAACGGCAATCGCGACAGTAAATTTCGGAACGACGGGAGCTACGCGGTGGTCTTGACATGCGGCCAGCGCTTCATAGGGAACGCTTTGTTGTTTGCTGAGAAGCCGCGCGCAGTTTTGTCGAGCATGCGCACACGTTCGTTGCAACATAAATCATGTGTATTGACGTCTTGTGTACGGAAAAAAAAAACGCGGGAGAGGCGTCACCCGCACTGGACAGCACCATGGGAATACGAGTGGCAATCATACCGAGTAGTGGTTGATGTTGGAGCCGTTTGGGGGTCTGGGGTGGCTTTCAGTTGTTCCAGCGAGCAGGATGAACTAGCAAGTTCTACGCGCTAGGTTCGGGCAGGTGTTGTGCCTCTTTCGGCCTCCACGGGCCGCTTTCGGCCGTAATGGCTTTAAGAAACGGTTCCCAAAATGACGAATTGCACCAGATGGGCCCGGGGAAGGGACTGGGGATCGCTCAGACCCCACGGCTGCCTCCAAGGTAGATGTGTGTGGGTGGTGGATGGGGGATGAGGATTTGCAAGCGACGGGGTCACAGGGGGACGTCCTGGAATGGGTGGTGGGGCGAGGGGGGGGCGTGGGATGATAATTATTGGAACAGTGGGATGATTGGGAGGGGAGGAGGTGCCAACGGGGTAAGGAAACGTAGGGTACAACGAGAGGCGGAATGGGAGGGGCGCGAGAGGGAAGGGGGGACTGGCGAGAGGCCAGTGGACGGGAAGATGGAAATGGGAGGGGGGAGGAAGCACCCAGAATCCTTTCTTCAATTTGCGTTTGCCCAATTCGGGTTTGCTTTCTTTCGGGGGTGCTTTGCAGGCGTAAGAAAAAAACAGGCGGGTGCCAACCAGGTCGCGGTTGGGTTCCTCGATGTGTCTGTGTCTTACCTCCTGGCGGAAAGGTTTCTCGGGGATCATCGGTATTGTTTCCGCACGAGGCGTTGCCCAGGTTTCTTGGTCTTGGTTCTTAGTTGTTGTTGGTTTTGGTTCCGTGGTTCCTTTGTCTCGGTTTGTTGGTTCCCTCGTTTTGATGAATTGGCTCCTTGGTCTTGTTGACCTGGTTTCTTGCTCTTGGTTGATTCGTCTTGTTTTCTTGATGTGTCCGTCCTAGGTCCGTGGCGTCTTGGCTCCATGGTCTTCGTTCTTTAGTTGGTTGGTATATGTTCGATGCTGCCACGCCACGCAATGCCGCAGCAATGCCAAAGTCATGCCAAGCAGCGCCACGCAGTGCCAAGCAATGGCCAATAGCGACAAGCAATGCCAAGCAATGTGCAACGCAATGCCATGCAATGCCACGCAATGCGCCCATACAATAAGCAGCTTTCTCTGGTTGGGGTCGCGCCGGGCTAATGGTTTGTATTTGTTTCCGAAGCCCTCCGCCGCCCTGCTTCTCCGCCCCCCTCGTCTCTCTCATCCTGGTCCTCCGCATCTTCCTCGTCGACCACCACGTTGGACACGGGGGAGGGCCAGGGGTTGGGAGCCCAGCCCCCGCGGTGCGGCGAGATGTCCACAAACACGACGGTGTCGTTTTTGAACCCTGGCGAGAAGGATGCCAGGCAGCGCGCGCAGTGTTGCGACGGCGACGGAGGACGAGTACGAGGATGAGGGCGACAATGATTACAATGATGATGCTGCTGATGCTGATGCTGATGCCCGTGCTGACTGTGAGGCTGTTGCTGATGATGATTATGATGATAATGATGTTGATGTTGATGCGAAGGATGACGATGCTAATAGCGATGATGACGATGGTGGTGAATATGTTGATGATAATGATACTGAGGATGATGCTGACGATGATGACGATGACGATGACGGCGACGATGACGATGGTGATGATGACGATGACGATGACGGTGATGCTGTTGATGATGATGTTGCTGATGATGTATCGTATTGGTGGTGGTGATGGTGATGGCGATGGCGATGGTGATGATGAGGACGATTGAGGGTGATGGTATTCAGGATTCGGAAGATGAGGATAGTGGTGGTGAGTATGAGGACGATGGTGATGAGTATGATTGGGGCACGAATGCAACGACGACATCGACAACGATGCTGATGCTGCTGATGATGTGGATGATGATGAGGATGACGATATCGATGCTGTCGATGAGGATGTTGCTGATGATGATGGTGATGATGCTGATGGATACTATGATGATGCTGCGGATACTGATGATGAGGATGATGATGCTGACGATGGTGCTGCTCATTCTGATTGCGGTGGTGATGGTGATGGCGATGGCGATGAGTCTGCTGATACTGATTGCGATGTTGTTGATGTCGAACATGCTGCTGGTTATGCTGATGATGTCTATGACGCTGATGCTGTTCTTGATGGTACTGATAATGATGATGTTGATGATGGCGATGCTGATGGTGATGATGGTGATGATGATGATGATGATGCAGGCGATGAAGATAAGGACTATTCCGATGACGAAGACGACAATGATGATGCTGTTGCTGTGCATGATGCTGATGCTGACGATGATGATGATTATGCTGATAATGATGATGATGATCATGATCATGATCATGAGCATCATGATGATGATGATGATGATGATGATGATGATGATGATGATGATGGTGATGTTGTTGATTATGATGATTGTGATGATGATGACTATAGTGGTGGTGGTGATGATGAGGAGGGGTGTGAGCAGAAGGACGTGCTGGAATAGGAGGGGACAGACGAGGTTCTGGAGGGGGAGGACGAGGAGGTGGAGGAACGGGAGTAAGATAATGACGCAGAGGACGAAGAACGGGAGGAGAAGGACGAGGAGAAGGAGAAGGAGGAGGAGGAGGAGGGGTGGAGCTGGAGGCGGATGTGGGTGGAGGACGGGGGAGGCATAGGCAGAGACAGTCAGGGCCCTTCAAGGGGAGCCATGTTTCTGTTTGACCAACCGTGTCGATTCCGCGGCGAGTTTTTCCAATTAGTTCTGGACTCTTGGGTATTCCTTGAGTCAGTTAGTTGGTCACGCCACCGACTGCCAGACATCTGTACGTAGCCGCTTTGCACAGGTGTCAGGCATGATTCCCCAGCTTTGCGTACTCGATATACCGTTTCAATGCGCATGAGTAGCTCCAACGTGTGCAGCGAGTTTCTCGCGGCAAGGGCCAGGAGGCGTTGCCCCGAACCAACAGCCACGATCCACGTCACCATGGTTCACGATTCAAGGGCCACGGAACCATTGTTCACGATGAACGCTTTGGTTGCACCAGGGAGCAGAAAGGAGGAGCATGCCGAGAACGAGGAGTGGGATGGTGAGAATCAGGCAGCCTCAGGATGTGAGCAGCTCGTGCCAGATCCTTGTCAGGCAGTTGACATGTAAACGGCCGCGTGACCACGCGATACTTCCTCTAAGTTTTCATGTTGGAGACAACTGAGCTATTCGTAGCAAGTTTGTCAGTATCCATGCTTCGACTTGTCTTCCCGGCGGAGGACGGGTACAAAGAGTCCAATGAGCAGCCGCGCAATCAGCAAGGCGGCGCCCGGCGCCGTGTGATGCTCGCTGGTAGCCAGGAGCATCGACCTTTCGACTGTTCTTTCGGAGGAAGCTTTCGGACGTTCTCTTATTGGGGACTGGTGGCATGTAATCATCCTCGGCTTTTGCTGCTAAGTGCTCGAGTGGTCCCGGAATGGTGGCTGTCCAGGGCCCGCAGCTTGGAGGAATTCGAGCGATGACGGCTCTGTCCGCCCGCTTCTCGCCTTCTCTGCGCTCCTCGGTTTGCTTCCTCTCTGTCAAAATGCCCCAAAAAGGTCAACAAATACTCACAATATAGTGCCCTGACTATCTTTGGATTATTTTTTGATTATTCTTGGGAAATTTCATATTTTTCGTAGAAAATCCCCTCTGGGTCTTTGAAACCGGCAACACGTGGGATTCTCCCCACATAGGAAAGAATGGACCATTGATTTTGTCAAGGAAATCAATTGCCAATGAGCCGGTCGCAATGAGCCACAGATGCCGCCGGGGACACCCCACATTCCATAGCCAGCCAGTATCTACATGGGCCCCTGAGCATCTGGTTTTGGTGGCTTGTGGCCCAATAGTCATCGTTTCATTCGGGGTGTGCGTCAGGTCTGGACGCTTCGCGTATCCCATCTGCCCATCCTGAAGCGATGTCTGAGCGAATTACCTTTATCAGGGAAGTGTAGAAGCGTGACGTGGAACAATGTGGGGGAGCAGCCGTCAAACCGAAGTTGACCTAATATGGCTTCCTGGCCTTGTCGAATGATGGGGAGGGGGAGGAGGAGGAGGCGGAGGTGGTTGAGACAGAGGATGATGAGGAAGACGAGCGACCATTTCAGTCACGCGAGCGTTTTCAAGATTCCATGGATCTTACTTTTGCCGCATTTTGCCAGAGGCGCTTAAGAACCAGTCATGGTATGTGGCCAGGATACAGAAGTGGTGGACGGGGAGCAGTACGAGGAGGCGGAGGAGGAGAACGAGGGTGACGGAATGATCAAGGAGGATGGGGGATGAGGAGGAGCGGGCGGCCTACGCGGATCTTTTGTTCTAAGGGTTATTCGTGGGCCCCCCTGGGGGTCCTTTTGGGACTGTCTCGTGGCCCTCTTTGGTCCCTCTTGGGGCTGTTTTCGATAGGTCTCTGGGCCCTCTTGGAGCTCTTTGTTAGGGTGTACGTGGAAGGGGGGTGTCTTGGGGTGGTTTCCTTTGGAGCTCAAAATTGAGGTGGTGTCGTCAAATTGCCCCCCAGGGATGTCGAACGCTTGCCTCTTACGCCCCTCTTCGTGACCGTTGTTATTCATCCCCGGCGAAACGCTTGTTACCCAGCTAACGATCGTGCTGGGGGGGACGGGCTGGGCCTTCCCCTACATGTTGGGAGCGGGCCCCCCGTAGTCATGGCGCTGTGCTAACAGGCATGGCGTAGTCTGAACGGCACGCATGTTGTGGCGCTCGCAGGCTCCCCACCTGTTGCGGCGCTGAGCTCACAGGCATGGCGTGGTGCTGAAAGGCATGTTCGAGCATGCGCGTTGTGGCGCGTCTGCAGGCTCTTGCGGTGCGCATAGGTCAGGCGGGCTCACTGCCAAGGTGTCCATTCGGAGGGTGGCAGGCCGTTCGGGCGGCAGATGCAGAATGTGGGGCTCCCTTCCCACTGTCCAAGGGTTGATCGTCGTCGTCGTCGTCGATGGCTCAGCTACCGCAGGCTGGTTCGACCACAGTGCCTTCTGGCCAGTGCTCGGTTGAAGTGCGAAACAGTCGACGCGCCTAATAAGGACGCGAGCCTTGTTCAGTGTACCCTTGTGTCCTTGCCTCTGCGACGTGTCCTTTGCCGTTTTCATTCGACAGCTTTTGCCAACAAATCCCAACTTCGGTTCCCAAGGGTTTGGCGTCCCTACCACCTGCCCTTACTGCCCGTAACGATTGTAGACCCAGCGCTATGGAGAAGATAGAGACTGGGCTGCTCCGCGCCTTCTCCCGCAGGCGCTGTGGTGTGCGCGGGCGCTGTGGTTCACGCAGGCAGCGTGGTGCACACCGTTGTACACAGGCGCTGTGGTGCACACAGGCACTGTGGTGTACACCGACGCTGTGTTGCACGCGGCCTCTGTTGTGTACACAGGCGTTGTGGTGTACACAGGCGTTGTGGTGCACGCGTGTAGAATCCTCAGGCGCTCCCATGTCCATAGAGCATCTTGTAACACATGTAAATGAATATGTGTTCTTTGTTGAATTCAGAGGCGCCCCACTTTCCATCGGGATTCCTTTACCAAGCACGTATTCTGTGGAATCCAGAGGCGCTCCGCTGTGGATAGCGATTCCTTTTGAAACTCAATCTGCAAAATTGGTTTTCTGTGGAATCCAGAGGCGCTCCATTTTCCACAGGGCTTCCTTTAAGACTCCTGTTGTAAACAATGGTTGTCTGTAGAATCCAGGGGCGTAATCTTATATAAAAGATTTGTTGTATGTTGAATCCTGAGGTGATACAGTTTCACGCTGCTGGCGTTCTGGCGCACGCAGGCAATGTTGTGTACACGGGCGCTGTTGCGCACACAGCTTCTGCAGTATACACAGGCACTACGATGTGCAAACGCGACGTGGTGATGCAGTGCACGCGGCTGTTGTGGTGTACGGAGGTACTGTGGTGTGTACAAAGGTCGCGCTGTGTTGCACGCAGGCGCTGGGCATTGTCGTGTACACAGGGAGTGCGGTGCACACAAACGATTGATGCGCCGGTGGCGCGGACGCACCCTGGCGGGCGCACGCCGCGGCCGCCGTTACAGTTACCCTCCCTCTCGACCCCCCCCCCCTACCTAGGACAGAAAAACAAAACAATGTCATGTTGGGCGTTGTTGGGGGCCTCTTCGGGGGCCTATGGGATACAGTTTGGGCTCCTCTTGGACCTCGCTTAGACCATACTGGAGCCATCTAGGGACTTCAATTGCCCAAGAACAGGTTTGTGGACGATTTTGGTTTCTTGGGGGGGTCCTTGGACAGAGGAGACTTGCACCCGTGTTGAGGCCGTCCTGAGGCTTCTCGGAGGTATGCCCGAGGATACCAGCATACATCTTCGACTATCTGGCGCCTTGTTGAAGGCCATCTTGGATGAGAGGGGGCCATATTGGAGCCATCATGGAGCCATCTTGGGCCATCTTGGACGCTCAGTCCTGTTGAACCCTCCGTCCAGACCCAGGGGAGGGGGTAGTGGGGTGGGTCACGACACCTCCCCCGAAGCACGGCCGTCTCGCTTGCTCCCACCCGCCCTCCCACCACACGAGTAGCACTCGAGTCTCAGCATGGGCAGGCGCCGCCATCGGCCATGATCTGGAACCAATGCAGACGCCAGCTAGGTTCCCCACGCCCGCGAGGTGCGCCGCGCGTGACAGGGCAGCCCCATCATCCCTGTCAAATCACAGTGCAACGTGATTGCGGGGCTCCCGCGCATGACCGCCAACAGAAATGAAATGTAGCATTGTTTTTTGGCATGGCTGATGGGCCTGCGCGCAGCAGGCAGTATGCAGGCACCCAATTCGCCCTTATCAAGAACGAATGCCACGCGTTCGCTTGGTGCCCGCGCGTGATCCATATTTTGCCGCACAGTGAACTTGACATCGCTTTTCGAGAGGGATGTTTGGGGTTATTGGCGTTGCACACAGAGAAAGCAATATGCCGTCCTTTGCCGCCCCTGTCAAAAACCAATGTGCGCTTCGTATTGTTTTTTGCAAGGGATGGGGGGTGTTGGCATTGCACTTAGCAGGCAAAATGCCGCCCCCCCCCCACCTGCCATCCCAATCAAAAACCTCTGCGAGGTGATCGCGGGGCGGCCACGAATGCTCCAGGTTTTGGTGCAAAGCGCATGCTCTATTTTCCCTTGAAGGGGATGGGGGGGTGTTGGCGTTGCACATAGCCGGTCCCCTCTGCCGTGCCGTCCCTACCCAAAACCAATGCAAAGTAATCGCGGGGCATCCGCGCATAATCCAGAGTTGAGTGCAGAAAATCATGCAGTATGGTTTTTCTGCACTGGATGGGCGGGGGCGGTATTGGCATTGCACGCTGGTGGTCGTGAGGGGGAGGGGGTGTTGATCGAATATGGAGCAGTGATAAAACTCTCCCCGACAAGGGGGAAGCAAGGTTGTTCCCCCAAACAGTGCTTGCACCCTGGGCTCTTACTTGCGTTTCTAAGGACTTGGATTGGTGTCCCGAGGATTCGCCACATTCCCGTATGTTGCCGCCCCGTTGCCGCCTGTTGCCGTTGTGAGGGTGTCCCCTGGATCCGCCACGTTCCAGCCCGTTGCCTCCCGCTGTTGGCCGTTTTCGCCCAGTGGGGCGTCCCCCAGGATCCGCCACGTTCTGGCCAGCTGCCGCCCGTTGGCGCCGCTTACAGCTTGCTGGGGTGTCCAGGGGACTCGCCAGGTTCTGGCCCGTTGGTGCCCGTTGCCGCCTGCGGGGATGTCCTGAGAATTCGCCGTGTTCTGGCCCATAGCTGCTCGCTGCTGGCCGTTGTTGCACGTGGGATCGGCCCGAGGATGTATATCTGCTTCTCGTAAAACGACCGCCGAGACGGACGTTTGTGCATCACACAGTTTGCACATCCACAGTGTCACACTTTCCTGTTTGGGGTCCACTTTGAGAAACATGGAAGACGCAAGAGAGAACTCGTTATACCACATAAGCCCAGAGGGCTGGTGGTGCGTGGTCCATGGCTATGTGTGGCTCGTGGCAGGACTGCTCGCCACGTGTAAATTCAGTGCTGGCTCGTTGTGTGGGTCGTGATGCAACTTTGAATTGGTTGCTGGCCGCGTGATGCGGTGGCTCGTTGTCCGTGACCGACTTTCGACGCGTTGTTTGGTGACTTGAGGCCGTTTTGTTTGCGTCTCGTGGCAGGGGTGTTTTGCACTGTTCAACTCGGTGATTGGTGGCCCGTGGCCGCCTTGTGCTACTCCATTGCTGTTGGCCCGTTGCCATTTCACGGGGCGTGTACGCGTCAATATCTCAATGGGGGCCTCGTGGTCCGTGGTCGTCTT